CTGCCTGGGTGACCCGGGCCAGCATAAGGCGATGACTGGGCCGCCCTCCACATGACCGGCTGGGGTCGGCCTTAGGTGTTTTGACTCAGACCTGCCATAGGCCGTGTGCACCACAGCCGTCCTCCTCTTGTCTCTGTCCCCAGAAGAGTCACAGGACTGTAGTTGCCCCCTTGGACACAGTGGCCCCCGCACCATCACTCCCGGCCCCAGCACCCACCTCAAAACCAGGGAGCCAACTGTCCCTCTGATCTGCCCTCCAGCCCAGGCTACAGGGCCCCACCTGCCCAACCCCTGTCCCTCAGAGACCTTCGCCCCTCCCCGAGGCAGCCCAGCCCTTGGGGACGCCCGCCCCAGGAAGCAGCGAGCTGGCTGGCCGTGCCAGGGCCTCCCGCTGTGACCATGGACTGTGACCTTTCCTCGATGCTGGAACAGGGGTTCTGGAGACATCCTGGGTCCCAAGCCTGGTGTGGAGAGGGGGAGACTGTAATGGGGACAGGGACAAAGAAGAGAGCTGTAAAGAAGGAGAACCCATAAAGAGGGAGAAAGAAAGAAACATTGTTCACATACCTGCCTAGGGACAGTGCTAACATCAGCATCCTGGCTGTGTTATCTTCCAGGACATCTTTATTATAGCTGGGAGGTGGCCCAGCTTAGCCTCACTGTACACAAGGGGAAACTGAGGCTCGGGCCCAGGCAGATTATTGGGGAGACTAGGGACTTGAAAGTGGATCCATTTTTCTTAAGTCTAAAGGACTTTCTCATTCCTTGCTTCTTCACAAAGAAATATCACATTAAAGCTGGAACCGGGCTGGTAGAGCTCTTACCTAGCAGGCTTCAGGCCCCGGGTTCAGTCACCAGCAATGGGGGCAAAAAAACCTGTGACAGCAAAAGATGGGGATGCCGATCTTGAGTCTGCAGCTCAAGCTGTGAGTTTTTCTGTGGATAATCAACCAATGCCAGGACACCTTCTCTGCCTTTTTCCTGCAGTTCCCTGCCCTCTAGGCCCTCTGTCCTAGGGAACACTGTGTGTGTGTGTGTGTGTGTGTGTGTGTGTGTGTGTGTGTGTGTGTGTGGGGTGTGTGTGTGTGTGTGTGTGTGTGTGTGCGTGTGTGGTATTACCGAGGATTGAATCCGGGACCTCTCTACCACTGAGCTACATCTCTAGCCCTTTTTAAATTTTTATTTTGAGGCAGAATCTGGCTAAATTGTCCACACTGGCCTTGAACTTGCAATCCTCCTGCCTCAGCTTCCTGAGTGCTGGAATTACAGCCATGCACCACCATGCCTGGACCCTGGGGAACTTATAATCCATGTGTAGGACAGGCAGTGTTGACTGAGAGTCTATAAGAATATCCCTAAAGCACTTGAAAAAGAAACAAACAACAACAACAAAAAACGAGCTCTGCGTGGGTCCAGCCGCAGGACCACACCAGGAGCCCTTCGTCTTCCTGAGCTCGGTGCCGGCTCACCGCTCTGTGTGACTGACTTGTCCCTTCACCCAGGGAACATATTTATTTGCATAGATCTTCCAGCGGGAAACATGCCTTGTAGGGACTCAGCTCAGCTTGTGGTCAAAAAGCAGAGCCCTGACCTTGTGCCTTTAATGGCAGATGGCCGTGGGGATGCAGTGACATAACCATTTTACACTATGAAGGGTGGAGGTCATCAGAGAAGGGCTCCTGTGCAGGACAGCTGAGACTCCACAAGTGGCCCCTGCAAGCTGCCCGAAGCCCCAGGGAAACCCCTTGGTGGGGCAGAGGGATGGAGGATTTGAATGACGGTGTGGGGCGGGAGGTCAGACTGTTGGGATGCGCTGGGGATTTCTAAACCAGGAGCAGGGCCTGGTTGGCGTGGTGATAGGGCGAGCGTGAGAGCAGCCGGGCCTGATGACCCACGTGGAGAGGAGAGGCTGTGAGGGAAATGAGGGCAGCCTGCGATTCTGGAGCCTTGGGCTGGGGCTGGGGGCAGAAAGCAAGTGTGGGGCTTGGGGGAGGGTGAGTTCAGCTTCAAGGTGCCCCGCGTCCTCCTGGGGCCAGGAAGGGGATGGATCCCTTCTGGGGAGATGATCGTCCTGGGGTTGGTGGTTTGGGGTTACCTGTAACTGTGACTCGTCCTCGGATGCACTACAGAGATGACAAGTCCTCAGAGATGTGGCTCCCAGGCCCCTCCCTGGAGACTAGAGCGCCCTCATCTGCTTCCTGGGGACAAGTGCTGCTGCAGTTCGAAGCCAGCTCAAACACCCCCCCTGGAGAGCAGGGAGCTGAGAGCAAGCCAGGGCTGCAGGAAGCCAGCCTAGGATTCCTCTGAAGACAATCTCTGCTCTCTCTGAGGGCAGCCGTGGTGCACACCGCAGGGATGGCTCCCATTCCGCTCCAGGAAGCTGAGTGTGCCAGGCTTTCGGTGCCTGCCACCTCTCACCCGTAGCTTCCCAGAAGCCCAGACCAAGGAACCCCTCCTTCCTTGCTGGGATGGGGTGGCTATGAATGACTCCAGCCCCCTGCCACTGGAAAGACCCGGAGGTGGGGGCAGCCAGGGCATTGGGATGGCATCTGTAGTACTTCAGTCTACCCTATTGATTGACACAACAGCCTCTCTTTTTCCTTTGGCCTGGGTGGCTCCTCGCTGAGCTCCTACTGTGTGCCAGGCACTGCCAGGTGCCGGGGCCAAACGGGGCAAGCAGAAGGTGGCTGTATCCATGGCAGCTCCAGACCAGTATGGGAGGCAGCGAGGAATGCAGACACCGTGGGATGGGTGTAACCAAGTTGCTGGGCTCGGACCACGGGCAGGGGGAAGAGCTGCCCCGGATGCACCCTTGAGCTGATGGCTGACCAAAAGGGGAGTCCACACACACACACACACACACACACATACACACACACACACACACACACACACACACACACACGACAGGGAACTGCACATCTGGTGACAGGAGGAGGTAGGATGACAGTCGCTGAGAGGAGCTCAGTGAGGAACCACCCAGGCCAAGGGAGGTGAGAGAAACAAGTGTGTCAGCGAGGAAAACTGAGGCCCGGTGTGCACGGGGAGCCCATCCCACGGCATAGCCAGAGACTCTGTGACGGGGGAGGCCCAAGGGGGAACGGGTGCCCCGTGGAGGGCCACTAGGGGGCCTCTATTAGTGCTTAGCAGATAGCCTGCACTGTACCGGACATATTCCCACCATGACGGCGAGCTGGAAATCTGGGGGCCGGAGTTCTACCCCAACCTTGCACTAATGCTCTGTAACCTCGGGCAAAATTTTGCCCCTCTCTGGGCCTCTTTGAAAAATGATGACGCCCTCACTCGTACTCTGGTCCTTCAAAGGCAGGAGCCTTTGCCCTAGCTCTTCCGATCGCCCCTTTCTGCGTGTCATTCAGACCACAGGGTGAGCGTCATCTCTCCAGACACCGTCCTGACCACCCACATCGCTGCGTTCCCGCTGTCCGTATTACATCACCCGACTTTATTTTTGTCGGACTCGTATGCAATCTCAGATGCTCCTGTTGGTTCTTTTGCTTGTCTATTGTCTGTCTGACCCTTGCCCCGGAGCTCAGTGTCTTTAGGGACTCTTGCAATTGTCAGCCAAGTTGCAGAGGCGGGGTTCGGTGGGGCAGACCAGGAAGATGCTCCCAGCCTGGGGTCCAACAGGCCTGAAATCAAACTGCCCAGCCCAGGTACTTTGTTCTGAGGACCTGGGCAGGCTGATCAGACTCTCTGAGCCCTTGGTCTTTCCATCTGCAGAGTGGATCATACCTGATGCAGCACCCTCCACCCCTGATGCAAGAGTTGGCTCCCAATTCCAGGAAGTGGGGGTGGCTAGGAACTGATCCAGGTCAAGGTCAGGCCATTACACATTTTAGGGAAACGTTCTACCACTGAGCCATATCCCCAGTCACCCATCCTTCCTGTTTTGTTTTTTTTTTTTAACAGTGAAAAGGACGCACAGAATCTATTATATGCCTAAAGCATATTAAACTCTGAGTTGATCTGCCTCCATTGACCCTTCCCCTATAGCTACTGCCTCTATGTGTCATTGATCTCTCCTGAGGAGGGGCTCTGGCATCAAATGGACTCCTCTAGCCCCTTGGAGTCCTCCCAGGAGCGTTTTTAAGCACATAGCAAGTCACAGGCTCTGTCTGAGGCAAGATCTACTAGGATCTTACCCATTTCACAGATGAAGAAACAAAGGTGCTAAGCCTCATCCATTTGCCCAGGGTTACCCAGGCAGGTAGGAGGGGGTGGGGTGAGACTCTGAACCCAGAAGGCCTGTCTGACTCATGCTGTGCTCCCACCCACCCTGAGCTGTTGCTGGGTGCACACAGCCATTCCTTCATATCTGTGTCACATGTTGGGCAGGGGGCATTGTTGGCAGGGTTATGGCTATAAGTTCTCACACTGATTCAGTGTACAAATACTTAGAGTACCTACTGTGTTCCAGGCCCAGGATGGGTCTGTGTTCCATAGAACACCCAAGGTAGCCCACAAGCAGCTCACAAACCCAAGCCTTCCTCTATCCTCTCTTGCTGTCCTACCCCACACC